GGTTTGCTGATAGTTCCACAGTTGACACGTGTGTGCATTCTCTTCGCTTGATCATAGGGTAGTATGTGCTCATAGAAAAGCATTCAAAACAAACAGTTATAGAAAATGAAATTTGGGAGCCCACCTATGCATTATAAGTTACTTAAAATAATAGCTAGCTTTGTTGGATCGTCACAGCTAAAACATGGTTGAAAATAGATAAAGTAAGTCATGTTTGTTATAGACTATAAGAGTGCTAACCAAATGTGAATTTATATCTTTTCTGAAACAAGGATTTAGACAGGGTTGATACATGGCTTTTCTCCGAGTTTTGTAAAATACTGTTGAGTATCGTCTCCCCATAACTTCCAGAAGAATGATGGCTGCAGAAATGGGAGACTGCACAGTCGGCATCATCATCAGAACAGTTACAATCTACATTAGGGGCACCATCATTTAAGATTGATTTTTTAAAAAATGTGTCACACAAATCAAAGGATGCTCTTCACTGATGTGCTCAGGTTAAAATAGAATTATGGGGGGCAAGTCGGCTGACAGTGGGGAGCTCATGCTGGGCTGGGACCCTTCATCTTGTGTCTCACAGGAGAGCTCGGTCAGGTGGCAGCTTTGCAGTCTCTCAGACTAGGTGGCACTGCTCCTCACTAGCTTCAGGAGGCCTTCATGGTAGCTGTTACTGTTACAGGTGGGAGCTGAGATAGACTGTGTGCCACTGTGTTGCTGAGCCTCTCATGGCGGTAAGAGCCAGATGGCAGCTTGAAGAAACCCATCCATGAATCTGAAGCCCTCACCAGCTACACCACATCTACCACTCCAGTATATTGACCTCACACATCCAAACTCCAAACTGAGAAACAATACTTGCTGTTTGTCAGCCTCATGGCTTGTGATGTTTTCTTTTCTTTTCTTCTTTCTTTTCTTTCCTTTCTTTCTTTCTTTCCTTGATTTCTTTCTTTTTGGTTTTTGAGACAAGGTTTCTTTCTTTGTGTAACAGTCCTGGTGTCCTGGAACTTACTTTTGTAGACTAGGCTGGCCTCGAACTCACAGAGATCTGCCTGCCTCTGCCTCCCGAGTGCTGGGATTAAAGGCGTGAGCCACCACCACTCATCTAGGCTTATGATTTTTTCAAAGTCCATATTTCAGTGTTCAGCAGTGTTGTTGCTTCTGAACTTTTATTTTGTTTTTGTTATGTTTTGCTTTATTTATTTTTGAGGCAGAGTCTTAAGTAAATCAGGCTGGCCTCGAACTTGCTACATAGCTGAATATCATCTTGAGCTCCTGAAATCTGCTTCCACAATTGTAATCCCAGAACAAATTAAGTGCTACCACAGCCAGCTGGTGTATAGTGTATGTTATAACAGACCTAGACCCGGAGACTGTGTTGCTTGTGGGGTACCCGTGGCATGCTCTTTTCAGAGTACTACACCCTCCCTTAACCAGGGAAGTAGCATTCTTCTCCCCTGAAGGAATCGCAGTGTGTGGACAAGGTGGTGTCCAAGCTGTGAGGGAAGTAAATTGGCTGCTGCACCCACTGATGATGGGTGTTTAAATGAGTTCATATGCGCATGGTAGGCTGGTGGGTTGGTGTCTGTGGAGGATACTTATGTGGAAGAGAAGGCATGCGGAACTGGCTGTCATCCCAGTGTAGGTCTTGGCAATGGGAATGACATCCATGTGGGCATTGTCCTGCCTGAGCATCCTTCTGCTGGAGACCAGAGGGACATGGAGTGCCATATGCAGAGTCTCAAAACACTGAAGCTCAGTCTCCTCTTCCCTCTGGTAAACATGGAAATGTGCAGCCATGAGGCAAGGAAGCAAATTCAGGACTGGTGGTGTACCTGGGGCCCGCTGTGCACAAGGCTGTGTCAGGAAGCAGGGTAGGAAGGCTAGCCTTGAGTGGAACTGGGGAACAGTGGCCTGGGCGGAGGGATAGAGACAGTACTTCAGTCCTAATTTCCGAGCAGCTTTTCAGGGAGAGGAGATGGGTTTGCCTATAAGCAGCTCATGGTCTTGCAGAGTTCTACAGCCTCACTTATGGTACCTTCCCACAAGACCTCTGTGAGGCTGGGGTTCGGTTAGCTCAGAACCCCACTTTCCAGGAGTCTGAGGTCTGCTGATGTTGTCCATCGTGTACTATCAGGTGAGGAAAGCGTGGACACCGGATCGTCCGGTACCTTGGCAGGCAGGGCTGTCAGCAGGGGTCAAAGAACAAAGGGTCATGGCTGGGGTCTACATGGTAGACATGAGGGAACCCAGCTACTGTGGTGTTGAGAGATCCTAGCATGTCAAAGCAGAGGCAGTGAGTCGTAACCATGTGCACAAGTGTGCCATTCTTACACATGGGACCCTAGTCCCACCTCAGGAGCAATGATAACTGACCACTGTGCACTTCAGTCCAGTGTGCCGATTATAGTGGGAGTACTCCACCAGTATTTGCTGAAAGAGTACAAACTCGGCTGGACCATAACTTATAGAAAAGCCTTGAGTGATGCACTATGGACTTGTGTTTTGACCCTCTGTGGAGTCAGAAACCCCCCGTGGAAGCAAACTGACAGATGATATACGTGTGGGTGTGCACACGCGTGCCTGTATGGGCAGGAGCTGCATACTGTGTTGGGAAGGAAAGGGAGACCTTCTCACCTGACCAATGGTGACAGGAGAAGAGGAGATCCAAATGGAGAGTGGCAGCAGCCTGCCTGGTCCCGGACTTCCTTTGCAGTCTGGCGTGGGCCTTTCTGTCTGGCATCGCTGTGCTGCCAGGTGGTGGCTGGCTGCTGCTTGTTGATTACAGTTTGAAGCGCTGTGCTTTGGTCCCATGCTGCTACGCGGCAAGGAAATCTAGTGTCACTCTAATGAGGTTTCTGTCCAGACTTTGGAAAGAAGAAAGGCTTTTAATTAGATTGGTAGTAATTGAGCTCCCAAACCGCAGAAGCCTCTCTCAGGAGAGGCAGGCACAAACGCAATTAAAGGAAGAAAAGGGACCTGAATGGAACTCTTGCTAACTCTAAGTCCATTAGTAACAACAGCTGCCTAATAACTTGAGGCAACAGATACACATCCGGAAGAACTTAGCAGTGCTTCCCGGTGATGTTGGGATTTGATCAGGAATGGGAGTACTACCACAATTAAAGTGTATGTAACTCTACCGGGGAAACATTTGCTCCCCATAGAACATGGGACATGTTAACTTGCAAATGTTCACCACCAAACACTGCAGCACATTTTAGTTTAGAAAAGTATTTCTTGCTTTGATCAAACTGCATTTCTTTTGGACTCATCCTGGCTTGGGATCCTCTGGTGCTTCACCCCATGCCCCTCCACCGACAACCCAGTCTTCTCTCTCATAGTTGCTCATCACACCTTCATAGGTGCCCAGTGGACGAACATCTAAGCACAGGAACATCTATGTATCGAAGTCTTGCTAATTCTTTATATGTGGGCTACGTTTCCACTAGGGGCAGCATCCAGTTCTCATGTGCACTCCTGGCCGCTGACTGGGATGTGGCCTGTGCTTTTTGCCAGGGGTCAGTTCTTGGTGAGTCTTTGTCAGTGAACTAAGCCAGGCAGCTACTGATACAAGAGTTAAAGGGTCTACTACTTGGCAGGTCTTCATGAATACTTTCCCTGGAGGGTATTGATTGCTAACTTTCAAAGTCCTTTAGGCTAGAATTGAGGATTCCAAACTGACTGACAGCATTCTCGGCATAACTGGTCTCCTTGCACATTTTTAATGGGAATTTTTTCCTTATGTTAAGGATGCTCTGTTTGCATGTGTGTATATGCATCACTTGTGTGCCAGGTGGCTCTCATGGAGCATCCCCCTTGCACTTGTATTTTGCTGACACAGCTGGGCGTGGCCAGCTTTGAAAAAGGGCTGTTGGCAAGCCCGTTGGAAGGATTCTGTGAGACTCCTGTAGATGATGTGCCAGTCAGCTTTCTGGCACCAGAATAAATACCTGAAATAGTGAACTTACAAAAATAAGAAGGGTTGGCTCCCAGTTTTTAAGGTCCCAGTCGGTAAGAAGTTGGTCCCATTGCTTTTGGCTTGTAGTGAGGCAGCACATCATGGTGGAAGCCTGTGGTAGAGGAAAACTGCTCACTCATGGCCAGCAAGGCAAAGGGAAGAGGAAGAAGGGCTGGCATCTTAGTGCATCTGGAAAGTACATGCTCCTCTTCACTTGAGAACCTCCCATTTGACCCATCTTCTAAAGGCTCTACCATCTCCCAGTGATGCCAAGATAGAGATGGTGCCTTTAGCATTTCGGGGGAGACTTAAGACCCAAGACCCAAATCTAGGAGGTGCTCGGTGTCTGAACCAAACCATGGTAGTTGTACTCTCCCAAACTCGGGGGGTGGGGGTGGGGTGCGGGGGGGGGGGGGGGAGGGGGGCTGGTATGTGGACTTGATTCTCATCTGGATTCTATTTTGGAAATGGAGAAATGGACTTTGAAATCAGAAAGATAGAAGCATTATTGAGCCTACTTATAAGGTTGCCCTACCTTCCTGGTCCTTTGTTTACTCACCTTGCTTATATTTACATTAGAAGCTTCAAGGGTCTGACATGTTGCCTGCTAGATAGACAAAGAGGAAAGCCCAGACCCATGCAGAGACAAAGCAGACTGATGGCCCATTCAGATCCTTAATATGAGGCGGGAGCTCCCTGCGATCACACCTCTTCCTGGGGGAGTGTAAAAAGATAAATTGCCAAGGACTTAGCTGGCATCATTTCTGATGGTGGGATGGCCTGATTTTAATTTTCTTCTTTATATTTTGCTGTCCTTTGTAAGTGCTCTGTAATAAATGTGTATTACTTCAGAATAAATAGAAAAGCTTGACTCTGGGGAAAGGCTGCTGGCATAGATTTGGAAGTGCCTGGTGCATTCTAATTTCCACACACAGCACTGATCCCCAATGTCAGATTTGTATATGAATCATTGTTCATGGCTCCTTTTGTGAAGCACATAAGCCATATTTATGTCACCCTTTTCTTTTTATTTTTTAAGGATGAGAAGAACCAAGTTTTAACCACCAACATTTGGCTGCAAATGGTAAGTTCAGGCAGAGGCAGCCCTTGCCATGGGCCTACCTGTTCCTGCCCCATGTGCATGTGCTCTAATTGCATGGAAAGAAGTTCTGAAGAGAGTTGAGGCTGGTGCTTGACCCCACCCCCACCCTCCAGCCAACTGAGAATGCTGGAGGACTGCATGCAGATTGTCCTGTCTGATGGGATGGGACCAAGGATGTAAGACTGGCAGCAGCAGGACTCTGTGCTTGCTTGTATTCTACTGCTGCATGATTCTAGGGCATTCCAAAACATTCCATGCCAGAGATAAACAGATGCAGGGCCACGCCTAGAGACCCATGGCCTGTGTTGTAGCTGCTCCCTAGCTCATAAGTACCTCTCCCATTGTCTGAATTCTCCAGAACTGCGTGTTTGAAGGAGGCTGAGGGATCCTTAGCCAGGGTGTTCACAGTCCATACTCTAGAGTCCCAAGACGGTCTTGAAAGGATACTGAGAATCGAATACAGTGATTCGGAAGTCCACAGTCAGAAAATACTCTGAAGCACAAAACATTTTGATTGCCAAAGTGACACTCAGAATGTTTCAGATTCTGAATCTTTGGGATTTTCAGATTGGATATGCTCATCTAGCAAAATCTATGCAAACTGCTCCAAAATCCCCAATCTCCTGAGCCCCCAAACACCTTGGTGCTAGCATTTTAGAAAAAGGATATTCAACTTTTATTTTATCCTTGAATTTTTAATTTGACATGCATATTTCTAATCTAAATTATTTAACTGTAAAATATAAGTTCCATCAAATTGTAAATATTAGAATCTGAGTTTAAGAGTGTTGGCCTCTATTTTAGGTGGAATCTTCATGCCACTGTGATTCTATGCACATGTAATTCTTATAAACACAGATCCCTGTCTCTCGTATATTTTACACGGTCTCCTTTCCTCTTTGTATCTTCATTTCTTGCTTCTCTTCTCCCTCTTTCTTTTCTTATCTTCCTCCTTCTCTTTTAGCTTCTTTCTTTTCACTTTGTTTTTTTTCTCTTTTCTTTCTTTTTAAGACATGGCCTTGCTGTGTGGTTCAGGCTGGCTTTGAACTCCCAGTTCTCCTGCTTTACCATCTCAGGCTCTGGGAATACAGGCAAGCATCACCATGCCTATTTGTACACTTGCATTTCTAGTACTTCTTTTTAATTAGGATTTTGTCCGATTGCACAGTTTTGTATTTGAAACTCCTTCATTAAGTACTCTACTTGGATTTCTCTCACATGTAAATATTTCTGTAGCATCATTCCTGTAGGCCATAATACATTAAAAAAAATTCTTCTGAATTGATTTAAGGATGCTACTATTGGTATATAATTCACCAGAGTGAGATGGATTACAAAGTTCTAATTGGAAATTCTTGTTTGTCAAACATGACACTTGGTTTTAAATTGACTTATGCATCCACAGGTGACTTTTATTTTTAGAAATGGGCAACCAATGAAGTTGTGGCCCTTGGTTCTGTCACTGCTTTATTACAGATGAAGGAACCTACAGAGTTGGAAATGATCAGGCTTTGTGTAGCCATGTTTCTTAGTTCCTTGAACTTGCCGGGTTATTTGCCAAGAATAATGTTGTATTCTACTGATAATTAATATGCACCAATGCTGTGGGTTGGCCCCATGCATGGTTCTTGAGTCAGTTGTATAAAAGTAGGAATTGGGTAATTTGAAGGAAGCCTGTCTTTCCTTTTAAAAAAAATTTTTTTTTAATTTATTTTATATACCAACCACAGTTTCCCCTCCCTCCTCTCATCCGATTCCTTCCCCCAACCTCCTTGCTACCCCCACCTCCCATCCACTCCTCAGAAAGGGTAAGGCCTCCCATGGGAGTCAACAAAGCATGGCATATGAAGTTGAGGCAGGACCAAGCTCCTCCCGCTGCATCAAGCCTGAACAAGGCATCCCTTCATAGGGAATAGGTCCCAAAAAGCCGGCTCATGCGCCAGGGACAGATCTTGGTCCCACTACTAGGGGCCACAAACAAACCAAGCTACACAACTATCACCCACATACAGAGGGTTTAGGTCGGTCCCATCCAGGCTCCCTAGCTGTCGGTCTAGAGACCTTGATCTCCCATGACCTGGGTCAGCTGTCTCTGTGGGTTTCCCTGTCATGAGCTTGACCCTCCCCGCCCCCCTTGGTCATATGATCCCTCCTCCTCTCTTCAGCAAGACTCCCTGAGCTCGGCCCAGTGCTTGAGCCTGTCTTTCTTGTAGTGTAGCGGCAGGAGAAGTAGCAGTGGAGCAGAGCTGGCCCTTGGCAGGTGAGGTTTCTAAGGAATCCATGTGTAGTTGAGAGGTTAAAACGGGTGCTGGAGGTGCACTCAGCTACAGAAGAGCCCTCTCACTGAGGGCTCTCCCTATCTAGTAATAGTGTGGAGCTTTGGAGACAGTCCCCTGCAGGCGTTAAAACAACCACATGCCCAGGGGTGCCCCTCTCCTGGCCTCCTCTGTGTAGGCCGGGATTCGTGATGTCTAGGAATGCCAGCTGCATCCTCCAGGACACTCATCCCTCCCCTCTTCACAGTCATCTTACTCTGGCCAAATGGCAGCACATCCTCTCAGGCCAGAGATCCCAGTATCACCCTGAGCCTTTCGTGTTGAAAAACTTCTGGTAGCTCAGCTTTCAAAACCGATCCTGCATCTAACCGTCGTCCACCAGCTCATGGCTTCCCCTGTTGTGGCTGCCTTTCTCACCTCCATCAGTGTAGTCTTACAGCCAGCCAGCCTATTCATCTCCCTTTCTCCCCTAGTTGTGCCTATTCTCAGCACAGAAGCCGAGTGACCTAAATGGAAATGAATACCTCCAGACCCAGATCCCGCCCCTTCCGGGGCTCTGGGCTGTTTGGATGAGCTAAGAGCTGAAGCTGGTGAGGTTACCTTCCCGGCTTGTGTCTTCTCTTACATTCCTTCTGAGCTCTTCTTCCTTCATCTGCTCCCACTGCCTTGATGGCATCCACACCTGTTGCTCACTGATGACCTTCTGGGATTTTGCATGCACGGCTCTCCCTACCTAGAAAGCCACTTGCTGGGTTCCCTTGCTCTCTTCTGTTGTCTTCCCAAACACCACCTCCTGAGATGCTGCTTCTTCCCAGGCTGTATTCAGTCTACGATGTTTATCGACCCTCCCCCACCACTTTTCACTGTTGTGAACAGAAGAGCGTGGTGGACACATGTCCTGCTGCTGAGCTGTGCTCCAGCCCCCAGTTTATTCTCTTTGCTGCTCCTTTCCTCTAATAAACTTCTCACCCTCTGACGTATCTGGTGCCCACTTGTCCACTTGCTCCTTGCATTCAGGTCTCTCCTTTGCCGCTGACTAGCAGCTCTCATGTGCTGGGGTTGAGCCCCACTGTATGTTCCTCCAGATCCTAGCTCACTGCCTTGACTGGCAGTAGTCACTGAATAACCTTTGTTGAAGGAATGAACAAACCCAAAATTCTACATTAACCCGGGGCAGGGGGACTAAGTTGATCCAAAATAAAGTCAACTCCTCCTATATCACAATGGGATGCTGTGTGTTAGTTAAGTTCTGGCAACTCTTGGAGATGATGGCTGTTTCCCTGGGACCTGTGAGGAACAAAATAGCTGTTGACACCTTCCTTCCTTCCTTCCTTCCTACCTTCCTTCCTTCCTTCCTTCCTTCCTTCCTTCCTTCCTTCCTTCCTATCTACCTACCTTCCTTCCTTCCTTCCTTCCTTCCTTCCTTCCTTCCTTCCTTCCTTCCTTCCTTCCTTCCTTCCTGCCTTCTTTCCTCCCTCCCTCCCTTCCTCTCTCTCCCTCCCTCCCTCCCTCCCTCCCTCCCTCCCTAACCCATCCTCCCCATCCTCCCCCCCTCTACATATCTTTCAACATATCTTTCTCTGTGGCCATGGTTGGCTAGGTGCTTGCTGTGTAGCTAAGGGTGGCATTGAACTTGAGGTGATTCTCCTGTTTTAGTTCCCCAAGTGCTGGAATTATACCCCACCATGCCAGTCTACAGAGAGAAAGATGTGCCATGGACAGATGGACAGTTATCTGTACCTATGCCCACCTCCCTGGCCCTCAAAACTTCATTGCTTTCCAGTAATGTCTCACACATGGCATGTGATTTTAAAGCGAGCTGGTTTCCAGGGAAATTACAGCAGGACTATTACGGTACTGAGTTCAGATATTCCATAAATAAACACCTGCTCTCTGAAGGCTATCACTAGAGACCTTCAGATTTCTCTTTGAAGCACAGCTTAGTTCTAATTAAGAGCTGCATTTGCAGAAATGTATAGAGTTTCACTTTTAAAATCCCATTTATCTATTGAACTCACCACTGGGAGAGCCTACTCTGTGGAAGGCATTGACCACAGCCACGGGAGAGCACTTAGAAATGTATTAGCCACATTTCCTCTTTCAGCCATTTATAATCAGGCTGTGTAATTAACTCATTTAAAGAAAAGGTTTAGCACTGAGAGATGATAAATGTTTGAAGAGATGGGATGCTAATTACCCTGATTTGATCATTGTACATTATATACATGTAGTGTGTTAGCACACTGTACATATAAATAAGTGCAGTTGTGTGTCGATTGATGTTTATTTAATGGTCATCATAGCAAGTCCAAATGTTTCCCCAGAATATTGTAAGAATGGGTAGGTATACAGTGGAGGTCACAGATGGGAACAGTCCTGCTTTATCAAAATGGAAGGCAGAGAGGCCCAACTCTTCTAAAGGGAAGATGGGCAATGCTGGCACTACTGTGTGTCCCTGTATCAGTGAAGCCTACCCAGGTAAACCTCTTCCTAGGCAGCTTGTGCCCTTAGGAGACTGGGTGATGACAGTGATCTGGAAAGTGGCACCACAGACGGTAGAGGGCTATGACAGTGCCTCTCCACAGCGTTTTCAAGGCTCCCCAAGAATCTCGGGTGTAAAACAAATATAAACAGTTAAGAAACGAAAACCCATGTCTGTGTACCCTTGCCTCAACCTGGCATTGCTTTGATTAAGTCCTAGTTGCA